CCCCAAAACCCCAAAACCCCATTAGTTAAGAATCAGCTATTGATTAATCACATCAAGTTTTAGTTGAAAATTTAAATATTATATAAACCATGGATGATTTAGACATTGAATTATAATATCACTAAAGGACTCAATTCAGAAAAACAATCTTGAGTCTAAGTATTTTGGTTGACTTTACACAAATTTTATTGAAACTAGGTATCTTTTAGGTTCTAACTAATCTCGTGGATCTCAATCAACTAATTGGCGGCTATAATCTGCAAATTTACACTGACAGTGGCTATCTTGTATTGAGATAATTTTAACATATAAATCTTGAGAATTATAAGCGATTGCCAAAATAAAGCAATTTTAAATACTTTGATATATTTGAGAAAAAAATCCTACACCAAAGTGGGTAATACGACTACGATGCATAGTTAATTCCCCATATATTAGTTAAATACCTAGAGGAAAAGGATCATTTTGATGTGAGAGTTTACGAGTTATTAGAGGATGTAAATTAAGTTTATAAAAATGACTTGCTGATGGGCGATAATCTAATACTCTATGTAGGCATTAGTTATGTCGAGTAAGTAGTATTTAGAGAATCAGGAATAATCCTTCATCAATAAGACCCTAGACTTTAATTTGGGATGATTACAGATCCCACAGAGGCTTTTAACATAATTACAAATATGCCAGAGTAGTAACCCAATATCATAATGTTAAGGAAATAAAGGAGACTACAGTACTTAGTGGCGACTAATATTTATAAATTGGACTTTTAAAAGCTTTAAAATTTTGCCCTGAGATATGCATACCCTTATTTATTAGAACTTAACGATTAGAATGAGAATATAATACTAGCTGATATGGAAATAATTAAGTTTATATTGCTCTTGAAAGAAGAGGATAAGGAACAAGACTTTTTTAATGAGTTTGAAAATTTTGCAGTAGAGTTAAATGGAGTTTTCTAATACGCCTATTATGATCCATTTAATAGTGATAATCAAATATACAATTAAAGGTTTAAAGTTGATATCGATTAAAATGATTACTAGCCAATGATTTTGATAATAGAGGATTATCCAAGCTAAAATCAATAATATTATGGGAAATATGAGATATTTTACTTTAAGGACAATGTAGGTTTAATGAATGAAGATGATTATAAAGAGATACTAAAAACATATCCTACATTTGAGTCCTAGGTTATCTATATAGATCCTGAATTTGATTATGATGAATTATCATTCTTACAGAAAATTTAATTCTATTTTGAAAATCATAATTACCAATCATTAAAAGCCAAATTTTATGACAATAACAAGATAAAGCATGTAAGAAGGTGCTTATTTTGCTTTTGTTTAAAGACATTCAAGATTCTAACTATATTACTCACTTTGATTGGACTTTTGCAAGAAGGGTACAAAAGATATTTCAGAAAGTAAAAGTAATGAATAATCCATTATAATATTTACTTAAAGAATAGATATTATCTCGAGAAAAAGGGATATCAGCATTGGGGTTTTGGGGTTTTGGGGTTTTGGGG